TTTTTTTTTTTTTGGGAAAGTATGGGTCGCTTATATATATATATATAAATATAATTTCTTGGTTTGTTCTTTCGCTATTTTTCTTAATTTTTAATGCTTTGTTTCTAGGTCAATTTTGGGTGCAGCTGAATGTGTGGAGTAATGAAAGTGTTGCCTGGCCAATAGCTAATCCGTTAATAACTTGTTCTTTAGCTTCAAATTTTGGTTTCCTTAGTAACTTTGTTGTAGATCCTTTTCTTTATATTTAGTTTTTTTTCGATTTGAAGGTTTTGTTCTTATGACCAATGCTGATGAGCAATTTTCATAATTTCTTAGATGTAAAATCGTTAGAACAAAGTAATGACTTTTCTAGTTTGATTATTTTTGTGGATTCGTAATCATTGACTTGCATAATTAAAAGTTATTTATTGATTTACTTCTATTTATAATTTTTTTCTATTTGCTTAGAGATGGAGTTTTTGAATTAGTAATGGTATTTTAGTTAATAAAGTGGTTTTGTGTTTTCTACAATGAAACACGTTGTTTTTATTTTTTTTTTTAACAACTTTTGATACTTTTTTTGGACTTCCGAAATGTGATGGATTATTTGCTTTGATGCTTTGAATATTTGGTCCAAATAATTTGGATCATGAAATTAAAAGAAATGGATCACAAAGATTCATTGGATATTTGGGCCACAAAATGGAAGGCCCAAACCCAAAAAAAAAAGTAGCTAAGGCTAGAATGGGTTAAAACTAAGATTGATACCGACCAAATTGACTAATTTGATTACAAAACCAAATAACTGAAGTGTTATTTGGTTCGATCTTTGGTTGTTATTTTACAAAATAATCAACTGATTAAAACTGTCAATTTGGGTTTAGTTCCAACCAAACCGAACTGTTACCCACCTTTAGCGGCAATGGGAAAAATTTTCCACACAGCTTTTACTAAGGTGCTTTCCTTGGTTTTCACAAGTATTCTCAAGAATTTTGAGCTACCATTTTAGGAAGCTACCCATTGTGTTGGAGGCCATGATTTAGGTCTCAACTTGGCTAGTGCGTCAAAATTTTTCCATGCAATTCCTTACCAACTGATCCTTGTTTTGGGTTCATAAAATAGTTCAGGTATTGTTTTTCTGTAACCTTGACAGGATTTACATCTGCTCCTTGTGTTCTTTGTACCACCCTAGCCTTTAGAAGCTTTCCTTGCAAATTAGTTTCTTGATTATTCCCACGAAGTAGCTAGTATTCTACTTTGAAGATTAGTTATGGTTTGATATCAATGTTGCATAGTGGGAAAGTATTAGGCCATGCTCTGTTCATAGAAAGTTGGTGGGGCAACTTATAAATCATAGGTTAGCAAAGAACCTAATAGGTTCTCAAGTTGTTTTCATGCACATATGTAGTCATATTCTGATCCTATTTAAGTGATTGATTCTGCATTGTAATGGCCTTATGATGGTTTGTCATATGATGGGCACCTATTTTGTCTTAGATTGCGTGAAACCATTCACTACTTTGTATTGTATTAGATTTGAGTTTTGAGGACAAAACTCCTTTTTAGGATGGGTGGATTCAATACCCCAAAATTTTAGCACTTATGTGTGGATTAATTAATTAATTAATTAATTTGGATAGGAGATGACTAGTATAAAAAGGGGTTTTAATAGGGGACCTAGTTGTCTCATGCTTCAATCTTGGGGGAAGTTAGCTGCAAAAAAAAAAAAAAAGGAAGGGGCGGCTGGACGAACAGATTAAAGGGGAAGGAAAAACCCAATTCTCTTTTAGGTTTCTCTTCTCTTTTAGGATTTCTTCTTCTCTGTTATTCCAACTCCAAATCAGAATCTATGATGCTTCTTCTTCTCCTAATCAAGGTAAGGGCTTGATTTCTCCTTGTCCTATCTTTCTTGAGAATGAAATTTATCCTAGAATTTCCACTTATAACTGACATTTTCTAGAAAATATCAAGATTTGCAATTGTTCATTCCTTGAATGCCCAATGGGTGCTCCTTCTGTAACTTTCTAGTAACTAATCAACCATGTTACTCATTTTTTACCTTTGAATTGAGTCGGATAATCTTTAATCCTATTAGAATTTTCAATTTGGGGTTTATTTCTATAGTTTTCCTCCTTGGTTTTGCTCTAATGGCACCAGATCTGATCTATTCTGCTAGATTTGGACAACATGACCTATTTGCAGTGTTTTGCCCAAAATTCTGTCTATAGTTATCGGATTAAGTTGATTTTTGATTTTGTAGAAAGCTAAGAGGTAGGCCTGCAATTTTAATGTTGAATGCTTAACCTAGTTAAGCTATTTTTATGGTGAAAAACCTCCTGCAAGTTTGATTCCCGCAGGCGGACTTAAGTGGCAGCCCGACCCTATGTTAGTATTTTGGTCATAACTCTCTTTGTAGAGATGTTGGATTAAGGTAATTCTTGATGCTATAGAACGCTAAGACATAGAGCTATAATTTATCTGTTTACCACTCAACCCAGATTAGTTAATTTCTAAGCATGAATTCTGTTGGAAATTCTAGCATGAAATCTGACTAGAACTTGCTAGAAATTTGCTTTAGCTGCTATTTTGCTGCTCTAAAACCCCTTGATATTGCTTTGTTTTGGCTGCCTTTTGCTACTACACATTTTGCTTGAATGCCACCTAGTTTGGCTTGCGGTCTACACTGTGTTTTTGTTGTTTTTACCTAGAATTCCTCACTATTTTTACCTAGAAAATCCCTACTATTCTATCCTAAAACAATATCTAATTTTCGCTCCTGTTATCCATTTCTGTTGCCACGATTCTAATCTGTTTAGCTTTTGAAAAATATATATAAATATTCGCTACTTGAAAAAAATGTATTGTTGCTCCTTTTTATGCTGTAATAGCAGCACCTATTCACATGATTTTCTGCACTTAAATCTTGCACAAGTTATCCAAATTTTTAGTTCATTTAGCTACAGCATTTCTTGCTTAAAGGCTGTCCATTTCTACCGAGTTTTGACTTGTTTTTTGTATTGTTTTTGTTGTTGTTTTAGCCAGAAATTCTGCTAGTGTCTAGTATAGTTTTGGACTTGGTTTTCCACATTTTTTTGACTTGGTTCTGCCTAGCAAATTTGCTTGGTAAATCTGCCTTTGTAGTGTCCTTTTAGGAGCTGTTTTAAAAAGAATAGAGGTGATCAGGATGTGTAGGAAAAAGTTGTTTCTTCGTTTAGAAAACTTGATTTTGGGTTAGGAACCAAATTAGTAGGGGTGTTTGCAGTGTGGTTTGGTTCGGATTTTAACATTTTTTAATCCAATCCAATTTAATCGGTTAGTAAAATTTTTAAACCAATCCAATCCACTATTATATGATAACCAAACCAATTCAATTTAAATTGGATCAGTGTGGTTCTGTCAGATGATCGGTTTTTAAGACTATTAAATATATGAGATAATGTAAATAATTTTAACATTAAGTAAAAAATATAAATATAAAATACGTGTATATCGAAATAAATAGAAACATAATTAAAAAAAGCACAAATTATAAACAAATTCTTATATTCCTTTACAATTGTAAAAATTGAAAAGATTTAGAAATTATAAACAAATTCCTAAACCTTTACCTTGATCTTTAAGAATGCCCAAAATGCCCAAAAGAAAGCTGCCACCAGCCTCCCAAACTCTCTTAATTCTAAATTTGGATAGGTATTTATAAGGTTTTAGGAATCCTAATTGTAATAGAAGTAGGATTTGAAACAAAATACGAAACTTAGTGTTGGACGTTGAATGTATGGTACTGGCACCTCGAATTACATGTCGACAGAAAACAGGAAATAGAAGGTTTGATTCTAGACTATTAACACATGGTATCGATACCCATATTATGTGTCGACACTACACTCATGTCGAGTTTCTAGCTTCCTTTCGTAATTTCTTCAATGGTAAAATAACATATCTGTCATCCAGCTTTGCACTTAGATCCCAAAACCCAAGATTCATTCATTTAGGTCCCACGGAGGTTCCCCTCTTCTTGCAATTTAGTCCCTGAACTTTCAAAAGATGTTCAATTAATCTCAAAAACTCTTATTATTATGCATTCAAATCTTTTTTTGCACAAAGAATGAAAACCATGTAAAATCTCATAAAATTCATTCAAATATCAATAATATCAAGACAAAAATTTAACATTAATGTCTATATGAATTCAACTCATCAACTATATCATTAGAGTCATTGATAATGTTATAAAGCAATTCCATCCGCATTACAATAGATCATAGCTCCAAATCCATTGCACAAAGAAAACAAGGCCTTGACTAATCAACTCTAAGAAAAGTACTGAATTACAATAGATCATAGCTCCAAATCCATAGTTGTTTGAAAGCTTTGAAATCTCTTAATGCAATAAAAAAAATATATCATTAGTTAATAGTATAAGATTTGTTAGTTTAGTAAGATGATGAATACAACTTTAAAATTATTAATTGTTAGTCAAAGTAGTTTAGTAACTTGCTCAATTTCATATGCAACTTCTTGTGTTTCCATTTTCTTTGGCAATGGTCTAGATCGAAACCAGTTTTGAGTACAAATAAGTATCTCCATTGTTTTAAGACTTAAAGTGCTTCTATATGGATCCAATACACGGCCTCCAGTGCTAAAAGCAGACTCTGAAGCCGCTGTAGACATTGGGACAACAAATACATCCCTTGCTATCAAGGATAGGATTGGATATCTCAAGGAGTTAACTTTCCACCAATTCAAGATGTGGAATTTGTCACTTTTCTTCTCTTTATCCTCTGCCAAGTACAAATCAACTTCATTTTTACCATCTTCTTCATTTTCCATGCTCATTTTCTCTTCATAAAGATCTGTAAACATTGAAAAATCATCATTGATAGCCTCATCATCATTTCCCTATGAACTTGGCCTATTGGAATTGCTATTATCTTCATCCATAAACCCACCGAGTGTGCAATACTCTTCAAACATCTTATTTAGAGTACTTTTCACTTTGTAACTTAAGGTCTCTACAATAATCTTATCATAGAGTTTCCCAAAAATAAATTCAACAAAACTTAGCTTATATCTTGGGTCTAGCACACATGCAATAAAAATTAAGACGTTCATGTTAGATGCTGCTCCCCAATACTTCTCATGCTTTTCCTTCATTTTTTCAGCTATTGTAGAAAACAATGGATTGTTACTTCCACTCCACTTGTTCAACAAGTTAAGAATTGTGGAGACATCATGAAAATACATGTGAGATGTGACATGACTAGACCCTAAAATACAACTAGTGGCATCATAGAAAACTTTTAAAAATTTGACAATTTTTTCTATGTTTTCCCATTCTTCAAATTAGGAGGACCTTTCTTTCTCTCACTCACATTCTCTCCAAAGGAAAATTCCATCAAATACAACCCATCAATATCATGAAGCCTCTTAAAGACCTTCTGAAACTTAAGGGCAGCTTCAAGCATCAAATAAGTGGAGTTCCACCTTGTTGAAACATCTAAACAAACTAATGATTTACATTGGATTTTTTCATGTTCAATACAACCTTTGAATCTTTGCATCTGAGAAGGTGAAGCTCGTACATACTTTATTGCATTTCTAATTTTCAAGATTGAATCATGCAAGTTCTTCAAACCTTCATTGACTATGAGGTTTAGAATGTGTGCACAACATCTCATACACAAAAGCTCACCATTAAGCACACTCCCCCCCCCCCCCAATCTCGAATCTTTTTGCTCAAATAAGCAATAGCAATGTCATTAGATGTAGCATTATCAACAGTAATTGCAAAAACATTCTCAATCCCTCATTCAGACAAATTACTTTCTAAAGCCTTTCTTATAGTTTCACCTTTGTGGTCAATAATTTGCCAAAAACCAATAATCCTTTTGTGGTAGGTCCAATCATTGTCTATGAAATAGACAGTCAAACACATATAATTTAGATTTTGAATAGAGGTCCAACAATCAGTGGTAAGGCTCACATGCTATAAGTTTCTACTAAGCATATCTTTTAACTTTTTTTTCTCTGTTATGTAAAGCTTAGAAACATCCCTTGTAGTAGTGATTCTAGATGGAACTTGAAATCAAGGCTGTGTAATACTCATCAACAATAATCATCCTGGCAAATGCTAGTCTACTTGCTTCTTTATCAAAAGCAACAACGGTCAAGTTACAGCCCACTTTCTCTTTTGACTCCTTTGTCTTGGGTTGAAATGACAGAACCTTTTGTTTAGGATCCCTTTCTTTAGGAAATTTTCTACATTGACCCTTAGATGATGACTCATAGTTGAGGTGCCATTTTTTGAGCTTTTAAATGAATAATTAGTTCCACAATAATTACAAATAGCTTTAGAAGCACCTTTAATTTCCTTCTTAGTAAAATGTTCCCATACCCAAGAAGGAGCTCTAGTTGGTTTCCTCTTCTCTAGTTGCAAGCCTTCTTCATCAGAATGAGCAGCATCAGTTGGTGTCTATTCTAGAGCTACTACACTTGCTGTTGTTGCTTCCTTTTGAGTAGCCTTGGGAGAGGGAGCAGCCCCTTTTCTCTTCTTGGAAGGCTTAGGCATGGTCTCAACTTCTAAATTATCAAACTTAGAAAACTCCTTTGGGAAACACCCCTCAAATTCATCCATTTCTAAATGTAAATTACTTGTCATAAAAAAAATTGAAGTTCAAAGATCAAAATGTGGATCTAGAATTTGAGCATGGCCACGCATTTATCTAGAATTTTGGAAACAAATAGGAGTTGTTCTCCATCTATAGACCTAGATCCAAATTATATTACCTAGATGGTACCAAGAAAGCCATCGAACACAACACTTGATCACAAATTAACCCAGCAAAAAGAAGATGACAACCTTGGCAAGTGCACACTACTCAAGAAGGTATGGTTTTAAGAATAAAGTTGTAACTCACTTATAAAGGTAGAATTGTAAGGCAATTAGAAATTTAGAATTAAAATTAAGGTATATAATTAAAAAAAAGAAAAAATAAATTAGGAAATATAAGATACTCTATTTTTATTTTTAATTAAATCAACAGAGTCATTATCTTGAAAAATAAGAAAAAGAAAATTTGAAATATTATAAAAATATTATATTATTTAATTAAGTTATCTTATAATCGGATTTTTTTTATAATTGGGTGGTTCAGGCAGTTTGAAAGTAAAAGCACAAATCAAACCAAACTAATTATATCAGTTTTAAATTTGTATAATCCAAACCAACCAAATTTTATATCGATTTGGTTTGGTTTTTAATCGGATTGGATCAATTTAAGTTGGATTAATCGGATTGAATCGGATATGAACACCCTACAAATTAGTTAATGAATATGTTGTAATCTTTTTGTACTTTGATGTGGTATAGGTTGAAAATCCCGTCAACTATGTTGACCTCTACCACACTCAAGATTTTAAAATAATGAAAAAAATTATTATTAAGTGCGAAAAATATAAAAAAGGGAGTAACAACTCGTCCAAATTATAAGGTGGAACAAGTCACTTACCAAATGGGTTTTGACAGAGATCGGGGTTCAGGGGTTCAGTTAAGAGTAAGGAAAGGTATGCGCGCATCTCATAATCCTCGGTTTAAACATGGTTGCATACTTTAACATTGGGATGTTTTAATTCAACTTATTCATTTTGTTTATATTTAAGTCTTAATGGGCAAACTTAAAAAAAGAAAAGAAAAGAAAAGAAAAAAGATAAACCAGATTAAAACATATTTTCAATTTTGGACTAAAATGAACAAAATCAAAGACATGAGGCATCATAAGCACAAATAAAAATTAAAGGGACTAATTTGATTAAATTCGAAACATGAAGGACTGATTTGATTAAATTCAAAACATGAAAGATTGACTTGAAAAAAAGTTGAGACTCATGGACTAAATTGCTTAATCATGAAAGTTTTGGGTGAAATTGAGATAAAAGGAGATAATTTTTGACCTTTTAAAAAATGAGTAAGATAAAGAATTGAAAGTCAATTAATCATGATAATCAATTTAATTAAATGATTTGTTAAAAAAAAAAAAGATAAACTTAACATTAATTAAAATTAATTAATCATATTCATTAATCCTTAATCAAGACAATTAAATAAATCTAATTATCTCAAATTAAAATTAATAAATATAATTAATTTACTTTAATTAAAATTAATTAATTTCACTAATCATATATTAAACTAATTACCATAATCAATTAATCATTTTATTTATTTTTTTTTTACTTTTTACTTTTTTTAATTTTTTTAGGATTTTTTATACCTTTTTTAGTTTATATATATGAATCTATTCGATTCGGCATGGTTGATCCAACCTAGAAACACAAGCCACTGCTCAAAGTAAACAAAAACAGATCAAACATAAAAAAATAAAACTTACAATTAGGGTTCATCAATTTCAAAAGAAAGAGCACATTCATCATAAAAAATCACATTCATCAACAAAAAAAAAAACACATTTAACAGACACAATGAACTGGACAATTTTTTTTTGATTTTTCATTCACAAGATCACTCCCAAATACACTTACAGCACGTCAAGAGAACCCCAAAAAATAAAAACAAGCATGGCAAAGGTTTTTGAAGAAGACAGATCAGAATCGGGGCGGAGGGATCCCACCCACGGGATCAAGCTCCAACCCTCCCCCTCACCACCTTTCTCAAGAACCTTCTCTGATGAGAAAATTACGTAAAGAAACAAATCTAGAAAAGGGCACACTTCTTGAAACTCAACAATGTCTCCTCCTCCAGCCATTGTCACCCAGCAGAAAACGCCTCTTTCCGAAAACTCCCCCCTTTTTACTCTGATTTTTGCTCTATATATATACCCAACAAATGAAACAAAAATAAAAACCCTCGATCTACTGGGAGCCCTTCGATCTTCCTCTTTTTCTTCCTACCATAGATCTAAAAGGGCCAAGATTGATCCCTTCATGCCTCTGACGACCTCTGGTTTTTGTAGAGAAAAGTAAAGGACTAAGCCTCTGACCTTGTCTCTTGTTCGGGGCTTCTAGGTGTGGGGCCAGGATCTGTTTCTACATAAAGGGGGGGGCATAGCAGGGTGCAGGCTCGAGAACAGCAAGCAGGGGCGCAACAGGGTGCAGGCTCAGCGTAGCAAGCAGGGGGGGTGCAGTAGTGCAGGGGCGCAGAGTGATGGCTGGTGATTGTTGCTGCCGGCTTCTCGGGGAAGGGAAAGGAAGGGCTATTCGGGAGATGAGAGAGAGAAAGCCAAGGGTTTTGCCTAGAACAAGGAT